GTGTATGGTTCCATGTTTCAGCAGAAGATTCATTCTACTAATATTRTATACATTTGRTGAGTGGTGGAGGGAGGCCCTGAGAATCACGTGGAGACGCGAACAGGGTCTAGCTGAATTGGTGACCCATAACTGCCGAGCTACAGCCCTGAACTCGAATCCACAGCATATATTGGTGGTCTGCCCTCGTCTTTCCCACACGTGACGAGGCCATTCTCATTTAAGCTGGCCCTTAATGGCTCCACATGTATTGTAGGAGCCATTCGAGGTACCTGCAGGGGGCCTCAAATTGACAAGAAGGGGACCCTTTGTTGTCTCTCTCTTCTCTCTCTCTCTCTCTCTCTCTCTCTCTCTTGGGGCCTATCTTTTTTTGTTTTTTGTTTTTTTTTTTTGTTTTTTTTTTGCGCACAGTGCGCGACTCCCTCAGCGCGCGCACCGCGCACAGCGGACAGCACTGCGTACTGCGCACACCGCACGGCGCACAGTGCGCGCGCTGTCGTTCCAGCACACAGCGCAGTGCGCACCGCCCTGCACCGCACTGCGCACTGGTGCGCCGCAACTATGGCCTGACTCTGTTCAGAACTGGTTTCAACTTTCTAGTGTTGTATGAGCCTTTGTGAATGTCTGTGACAATATGAAGCTGTCAAGTTGTGAATAGTGAAAGACAGTAAGCTGTGGTTAGTACTGCTTATTACTAATGTTTTTTTTTTTCGTTTTCGTTTTCGGTCCGGACATTTTTTTTGTGTCTGGTGCACCGGTCCGGACGGTCCGGGTCCTGTCCTGTCCAGTTGTCCGGTGCCTGTCTGGATTACCAGATGTCTGGGCCTCAGTCCAGACATGTCCGGCTCCGCGTCCGCGGTTGCCGTGGTGTGTATGCCCTTACAGGGGCAGACCTGAGATTTGGCTACAGATGGGCTTACCGGAAACTATCGTGGGCTAGGTAGGGATAGAAGTAGAAATTTGTCAGGGTGGACTGACTGGCAAATCAGCCTGCATATGCGGATAGACATGTAGGATTTCACCAAGAAATACAGGATTATCACGCATGCAAAATAGAGCATCAAGACAATTATAAAACTCGAAAAAAGCATTTCAAAATAATAAAAATAAAAATGAAAGCACGATGGTCCAGGGCCCGAATGTAACCCTAGGAAGATCCAGTAGGCTAAGTCTGGTAACTTCCAAGAGGTCATGATGGTCCAGCGTCCGAATGTAGATAGGTATCAGGTTAGATTCAGGCCCTGCGTCCGAATGTGGATAGGTATCAGGTTAGATTCTGGCCCTGGAAGGGGATTGCAGACTGGAAAGCTGGACTTTCCGGTTGGCCCAGCACACTTGCAGAGGCTGGAATGGCTGGGCTAGAGGTACTGGAGGCCGGGGGGTCGTGAGTATATCATTAAGTTCGCCCGGCAGTCATGCTGCTCCTCTGCCAAGAGGGGTGAAGAGTCAAAGCTGCTCAGGAGGAAGGTGGGGGTCGAGGATGATGGAGAAGAGCTCCATGGCTATGGTGGCGATGAGGGAGGCTTGGGAGGAAGGCGGGGGTTGAGGATGATGGAGAAGAGCTCAATGGCTATGATGGCGATGAGGGAGAGTGCCCTGCTGTGGAGGGAGTAGTTAGTAGAGGCCATTACTGGGCTATGGAGTTTAAAGGCAGGAACTGTCCGGCTGACCTTGTGCACGGGTAGAAGCTGGAAGGTTCTTGGTGTAGAGGTACTGGATGCTAGGAGTCGTGAGTATATAGTTTGTCCACTCGGCAGTCATGCTGCTGCTCGGCCAAGAGGGTCTGCTTGGGAGGAAGGCAGAAGTTGAGGGTGATGGAGAAGAGCTCCATGGCTATGGCTGAGGTGAGGGAGAGTTCCTACCTAGGGAGGGAGTAGGGGTAGAAGCACATACTGGGCTCTGGAGTTAAAAGGACGAGAGTAGTACGTGAGAGGAGGAGGAAGAAGAAAGGACCCGAGAGGAAGACTTACCTTTGGCTATGGTGTACCTTCATCTTCACTTACCTGGCTTGCATTTCTTCTTCTTCTTCTTCTTCTTCTTCTTCTTCTTCTTCTTCTTCTTCTTCTTCGTCTTCTTCTTACCGGGCTTGCACTTCTTCGTCGTCTTCTTCATTTGCGATGAAGGTATTGTTGTTTGTTCTTTGTCTTCTCCGTTCTCCTTGGCTATGGTGGACCTCCATCCTGTTTCTTTGACTTTTCCAGTTCTTGTTTTGTGCTGCATGATATTGTCTCAAAATCGAGTTTTTATCAAGAATTGGGCAGGATCATAACATTTTCATTTGTCCTTTTTTGGCAATGCTGGAGCAGAAGTCATCCTCTACCGGTTGCACTTCTCAAGTTCTATAAGAGAATTGAAGATTCCGAGCGTTTTTTCCTATTTTTAGTTGTATCTGCTCTGAAAATTCTGAGCCAATGATGAACAGATTGTCACACCTTGAGCGATGAATGTTTCTGAGATTAAATTTTATGTTTGTGCCTGTTCATCTTTTTGCTGATGCGTATGACACGTGGCAATTGCTGACGTGGATGTAAACATGGTCTGTGTGCTTTCAATGAGTATTTCTCCTTCCATCAGACGACAAAGGATATGGCCCGATTTTTGGCTATGCTTGTGCAGTTGACGAATGCGAGAAGAGCCATTGAGGTCGGCGTGTTCACGGTGAGACACCAATCTCCCGATTGGTTTCTAGTAAGGTCTTTTTTCAAACTTCTTTGTCTCTCTCTCTCTCTCTCTCTCTCTCTCTCTCTCTCTCTCTCTCTTTTTTTTTTTTTTTTTTTTTTTTTGCCATGCTAATAATCTTCTCTATATCGTTCCAAATTTAATGGATGTCCAAAAGGAATTCTTTCTCTTTTCATTTCTGTCATTTTGCACTTTTTTAAAAACCTTTGGTTTGTCGGTTCTTTTGCTGTTGCTCAGGCTACTAGAGAGAGAGAGAGCTCTGTTTGAGCCATGGAGGAGGGGAAGAGGTGGGTCCGACTTGTACCTCTGTTCGAAAAAGTGGAGGGATTGAACTGCCATGACGTTGGATATAAGATGACATGGCAGGTAAAATTTCGAAATAACAAGAATTTGATCACACCCTCCTCCGCATGGCACACAGAATATCGCAGCGACATGGGAAAGGAAAAAAAGCAAACCCGAAACGAAAAGATATTAAATGAGATGAAATGAAAAGGCGATCATGTTTAACAAAATGACACACGCACAAACATCTTGTCATCAGGAGGTTCGCATCTCCTGAGGAAATCTCGCCGAAGTCGTCTATTTCTCCTTTGGGTCTTTAGGCTCACGATCCGTGCGTATGCGTCAATCCTTTCCTTCTCCGTTACCAAAACCACCACTACCTTTCACAGACAAAATTTTTGCAATGAATTTGTTCACCACTGCATTCTTTGGGGCTTCAGCTTCCCGGACGTCTCTGGACGGCGGCGCCGGCCAGAAAGGTGAAAAAAAACAAGCAGTGCGCCGGTTCGTTTTGAAATTTGAACTCAGCGCGCAATATGAATCCGCCATCGGAAAGAGAGGCTCGGAGCTAGTGGTGGTTTAAGTTCTTTTTTTGAAGTTTGAACTTTTTTTTTTCCCTTTCATTTCTTTCGTTCATAGTACTTTATACACATTGTCGAAAACAGAAAAAAAAAGAAATCCTTTGGCTGGCCCATTCTTGTTTTCTGGGAAGTACTTTTAAAGTTTAAACTTTAAAGTTTAAAAGTTGTTGAAAGTTTTAAATTTTAACTTTTAAGGTTTTTTTTTTTTTTTTTTTTTTTTTTTTTTTTTTTCCTTCTCCTTTCT